TGCTGGTGAGTACGTCAGTCTGCTCGGCCTGGCCCATTCTGACGTGACTCAGCACCGAGATGGACATCTGGGAGGCAAACTCAGTCTCCACGGCTGTGACCCCACACTCTTGTCAGCCTGAAGGCTACTCAGTCTGCACAGACGATACGTGTGGTGGAACATACTCGCTCGATCGCTATGCCGGCTCCTGCGATGCGAATGGTTGCGACTTCAACCCATACCGTGTCGGCGCGAGGGACTTTTACGGCAAGGGCAAGTCTGGTGTAGACACATCGAAGAAGGTGACAGTCGTCACACAGTTCTTGGGATCTGGAGGATCGCTCAGCGAGATTAAGCGCTTCTACGTGCAGAACGGCAAAGTCATCGCTAACCCGGAGCCCACAATCCCTGGCATGGTATGTGCTCACGTCACCAAACCCTATGAACTCCATTCTGACAACCGCGCAGACAGGCAACTCGATCACCCAAGAATGGTGCAACACGCAGAAGGAAGTCTTCCAGGAGGAGGTTTACCCCTTCAACGAGTTCGGCGGCATGGAGTCCATGGGTAGGGGTATGAACCTGGGCATGGTACTCGTCATGAGTCTCTGGGACGACCACTACGCCAATATGCTTTGGCTTGACAGCAGCTACCCTACTGATAAGGATCCGGAGCAGCCTGGTGTCGCCCGCGGCGAGTGCGACGTCAACAGCGGCGTGCCAGCCGATGTAGAGTCTGCTAACCCGAATGCGCAAGTCATCTTCTCGAACATCAAGTTCGGGCCCATCGGCAGCACTTTCGCGCAGCCTGCTTGAGTCTCTCAGGAAACTTGATCAATATCGGGGGTTCTTTTTATTTCTTCTGGTTCCAGCTCTACGCAGCCTAACCAGTTGTCGCTTGTACGGTCAGGCTGTCGCTTGTACATAAATTTGTCCGATCATGTCATTCGCTTTATTATGATCAGAGATACGAAACAATCAACGCTGTACAGTTCTTAATACACTGTAGGGACTAAACATTTGTTCAAGAATGCGCACACTTGACTCTAGCGCTTTCACCTTTGGGAGTGTGTATGCACAGTGAAGTACTGGTTGGGGCACGATAGGCTGCTGTTAGCTCATAGGGAGAATACCCCTAACTCCCATTCCTCCTCACCATGTCAAAACATCACTGGAGCGGAGGAAGAACTTCCAAGTCATTGTCCAACCCTCCCGAAGCCCCTTTACAGCACATCACAACCGCAGATTTCACCATGGCTATGGACCTACAGCTCGAAGAAACACCACAACAATCAATTGCGCAAACGGCGTTGGCCATACCAGAGCTCGCGGAAAATATCCTGAACCGTTTGCCGGATGTTCGCGATCTAATTCATGTTCGGGCAACTTCGAAGGCCTTGACGACCATAGTCGACGGCACACCCAGCATCCAACGCCAGTTGTGGCAGCTTCCCACGCCAATCCCAAATGACGAAGACCCACATTACCCTGATTTGCCACAGATTATGTCCACGTATCCCATCACGCTAAGCTACCAGGAGGTGGAATGGGCTCTAGAGGCGAGTCGTCGCATGGAATGGGATGTGTATGACGCAATTGAGGCAGGCGAAGATGAGGTGACCGCTGCCGCGGTGCGAGATCAGCAATGGCAAAGTCTGTGGTATTCGTTCGAGAAACCTAACTATACGTTTCACCTTGATACTATCCTCGAGCAGACACCTCAGCAACAGGCGTTCAAGTGCAACAGTTGCCAGCGCATTCACCCTCCATACGCTGCCTCGGGCTTACATAAAGCTCTCCGCTTCCTACACAACCACGAAATATGCGGTCACGGCTATGGTTCGGAATTGCTCCTTCGTTTCGCTCTTATGAATCTCGGGCGTGCAGACTACCGGATGGGGCCTGCATTGGACGAAAACCAGGGTCGCATGTGTGGTCGCAAAAAATTGTATATTCTAGCGTTGTTTGCCAGGGCTGTAAGCAACGCTTACGAAACCGCAAAGCAACGCGGTATTCTTCAACATTACTTCATGGCGCCCGTGTGCACGAGGCTCATTCTGACTTGCGTCGAAGGTTCAGACCCCGTGGATCTGGGGAATATGATTGTTCGCGATCAAGATGGCATCAAGTTGGGGCAAGTGCTACGCGCTCTTCTGCGATTTTGTGACATGACCTTTACGCGCGGTCGCGCTAAGGTGCTGACTGTCAACGAGGCCTATGTCACCGGTGGAATTTATGCTGAGACATCGAAGGAGGACAAGGCCTATATCGCCCAGCTGTACGACGAGGCACAGGAGGAGTTATCCTGCTTGCAGGAAGGTTATTCGGATGAAGACCAAGTAGCTCGTGGTTGAGGTAACAGATGCGCCCAGAGATCGCAGCGACTGATCCTGTATCTAGAAGCAGGAACTCTCGCGTCATGAATCATGATCTTCTGTCTTTAATCTCGAGCGTTCGTTTCGGTATACCAGAGTCTGGTGTCGCATGGCCCAACCAAGTTCGTTTCCACTGAGATATCGACATCAGCGTCACAACAGCAAACACGAGCGTCTGCTTCGTATGGAGTAAACGCAATCGGTTTTCGCATGACCGAATACAAATACTTCCATGCCCTCTCTTGTTATGTTCGTGCGTGCCCAGCCTGTATTCTTTTCTCTACATCTTTACTGATTTGGCACCAATTCGTCGCTATCATTGCTGGCAAATCAGCGTACTCTTCGCCCTAGCCTCTTCTCCCCCACTGTTAGCCAGGAGTGCCTGCAGCATCTACCGAAGATGCTTGAAGATCGTGTGGAAGGTGTGACACGTTGTTGGTTTCCGTGCCCATGCGACGACCTAGAGGAGGATCAGTGCGATTGCTGCTCGTGGTAATCGCATGCGAGGATGGGCCACAAATGCCCAGGTGGTGTTGCATGAGGCTGCTTGGGCGGCAGTGGTGACGTAGCTGCCTCCTGAACCTGGCACTAGCGCAATTTGGATTAGCTCAATGGGGACGGATTCCGGTTCCCGAGGTCTGACCTGAGCGACCGCCGCAACTACTTCTCGACATCCCATACACTATCGCAATCAGCTCTTGCTACTGCATGCGTTCATCATAATCATCCTGGTGTTCTGCGATAGTATGTCAGACGCTTGTGACATGCCCAGGTGTCGTTTAAAGTGTTGGCTGAGCATGAGGCAGAGAGATGCACACTTCAGCCTTCACTTGGCCTGCCCATGGTCGATTCGTGACCTAGCCAAAGCTTGATGGCAATTATCTTGTGGTCTATACCCTCTCGTGAGTGTAGTAAGTCGAAACAGCTCCATCTTATATCTGACTAAGCGCCAGCTGTTTACTCGACGCGTAATGCAAGAAGTCCCCAAGCCTTCGTACCACGCGATCATGTCACCACTGTGTAACGCGTTTGCCCGCTTCGTATAAACCGTCCCTTGCCTCAATTGCTACCCTGGTTCCTTCTTCACCGACCCCCTCATCACCATGGATTACCCCATCGTCGAGTCGCACTCGGCTGTGCAGCAAGTCGCGACGACAACTGAACTTCTCGCTGCAATCTTCATACATCTCAGCATACTCGATCTACTGCATGTGAAGCAGGTTTGCAGGCAATGGTGCGACTGTGTTCGAGACTTAAGCGAGCTGCAGCCAGCCCTTTACAAGCGCGCCACACCGGTGAAGCCTGGAGATAATCCGCACTTCAAGCCTTTAGACGAAGCGCTCGCCGCAGAGAAGTCCCGCGGAGGACAGACATTCGGAGAAATGTTCATCAAAATCGGTCACGATCTTGAGCGGCGCCTAGATTTGTTAGTGGGATCCGGTACGGCAGATGGCAAGACCTTCGACAATCAAAGTGGATGGCTCAGGCAACTTGATCACTACAAAACCGCGTTTAACATGATTATACTTTGTCACCACTGGACACCTCATGGCCCCAATCGCTCGATCTCCCTTCATAGTGCCGCTCCGCGAGCAATGACTGAAATGGGTGGCGTCCATTGTGGTATATGTCATACGTTCCACTTCAGCTTCCAGTGGGATAGTTTGCACCCGATGCTTCGATTCCTGGAACACATCCCATTTCTATGCATCGACGGATACAACTCGACGATTGACATACGGCTCATAGGTCCAAATTTGCCTTACTCCACAGACATCGAGCCCAAATACCAGGTGTTCCAAACTGCCATGGACCTCGCAGAACAGGTGGAAGACGTGGATTCGATATGTACAACATCTGGGTTGAAACATGACATCGGCATTCAACCTTCTGGTCTCCGACTTTCGGCGGCAGTCGGTCACTCGCCTCATCACAGTTCGACAGGTACACTGAGACGATCGGGCTTGCTCATCGGCGACTTCTTAGAAGGACTCATGTGGTGCACGCGGAAATTGGCTCTCGATGTACAGACTGATACAAGGGGCGTCTTGAACTTTATTGTGGGATCGACGGAGAGGGGACTTAAAGCGGCGAAGGATCCAATCGAGCCAAATGCGCTTCCAGAAGCGCAAGCCAGAGTCACGGCGATGAACGAGCGTATTGCTGTGATGGAAGCCCGCTCAGCACTGTGGCGACAAGCACAGAGAGGAACGGGTCCGTTAGGCAGCAGATTCGGGACGCTCTAGGGGTTCTAGGAAAATAGAACGAGAGTGTGCAATGGTGCAGATCATCCAGCATGTGCTTTGTGATTAATTTACCCTACAATAAATTAGCTTCCTTCAATCCGTAACCATAAGGAGTCTCACTTTCTATGAGACACATTTGTTATAGTTTCGCGATGATGAGTGTTCTGGTGTGACTAAGAAGAGGAGGTTTAGGGTGAATGTTGGCAATGTGTGTGTTTATGAGGTCATGGAAACCTGATTCCTTGCTCGCAAGCGAAGCGTTGTCTCCTGCAAACTGTATTCAAACGGTCTAACATACTCTACGTAGTTCATTACCGTTGCTTACTTACGATCTATCATCCAGAAGACACGTCGGTCTCACGTACAACTCGTTATAACCCAACGTCTTCCATAAGCCAATTTAAACCTCTTCGATTGAGATCTCAACAGGAATCGCTTTCCGCAGTTCAGACCGACAAGTAATAATACGCGCACAAAGGTTGAAGAGGTCTTTGAGAAGTTTCGCAAAGTCGAAGTTATGTGTCTCTTTCTGACCCTCCAACAGATGGCGATCGATAGCCGGATCTAGCTTGGCGATCCCATCTATAGCCTGCACCAGACGAACATACATGCCGCTTTCATGGAAATCAAGGCGCTTGTCAAACCCGAACAGTCTCTCACGACATACGGGACAAGTGGCTTTGCCTGTCTTCAGATGATCCTCAAGACAGATGGTACCGTGAACGTGGCCGCAGGGAGTACGGACAGCTGGCTCGGTTTTATTCGAATGCGAGAAAGACAACCCGTAGTCGTAATAACAGGCATAGCAGCGGCGATCGGCCACATCGCTCGCTGCCATTGCCTCTTGGGTACACGGCGTGGTGAAGTCCGATACCGCTGGGTAGATTGGTGGTCGTTTACTAGGTGAGACCCCCCTCCTCGTGTCGGAGTTGGAGTCGTTATCTTGGGAGCCGGATGGTACAATGTCCTCCATATTGTCGTTGTCTTCATCAGCATTTCGATCGTTTTCGCCTTCTGTGGCCTCGTTGTCATTCCCGTCATAAGATGAAGTTTCGCTCAGAGCAACGCTTCGCTCATCCAGCACTGCATCCAACTCACCAATGAACCCTGCTTGCTTGTACCGACAACAGGTCAAGTATGAAACCATACCGGTGAAAAGGTACCACTCCAGACACGTAGAGCTTTGACTTCCTTGTTCATCGAGGTACTCTTTGTGCATCCGATCGCTCAGGCCCTCGCGCAAGCTTTCATATTCCAATGTAAGCTCACGATAATTCCCTTCGGTTGGATACTGTTCTTTGCCTTTAGCTTGACGTTGCTTTAGCCATAGTATTCGGGCCGCGAGGTAGGGATGTGCGATGGACTCCTTGAATGTGTCGATGTCTAAATTGAAACGGGGAGGGTCGATAAGCTTGAAAAAGGGCTGACCTTCGGCGCGATACGCCAATGTCCGAGCGAACAGTGCTGCATCTGCAGTGTAGGCTCGATAGTAGTCTCTGGTCCTTTCCCGGTGCAACATCGGCCATCCGTCAGAGAGAGAAGCGATCTCCGTTCTCACTTCAGATGAGTAATTAGACGCTAAACCTTGATCTAGATTGTCTAAAGAGACATGATTAGCCTGGAAACAGGTGTACAAAGTCAGTACATGCATTGCATTCATTTGGCTTCGGGAATTGACTAACCACGAATGTAAGCAACGGTTGAGCTTCTGCCGTGTGTACTGAGTCAAGATCAAGGAGTTGCAGTCCAACGTGCTGCAAGACTTCGAAAAATACTCGGTTGATGCGGGTTGTTGAACAATCCAACAGTTTGAGATGTTCTTCGAATTCTATTCGCGCGGCGACATCCATCGTGTTCATTGACTCTGGTTCAACACAAGAGCTTCATTGGGGGGCGTGGATGGGCCAGATGTATAGGGTTTGGATTGCTATTCTGTAGCGTTTGTCGATCAAGCAGGCATCGACGTAGCAAACTTGTGGTTTGATAGCATCTCTTACACAGAAACACTGAATAGGTCTGTAGACTACATCCAGACAAAAACCTGCAAAGTAGGTAACCTAATGTTAACGTAGGCTCTAGGGTGCTTAATCCTTTATCAGGTTAATATGATAGTACTGTGAATGAGTCTAAACATAAAAGAACTCGGTAGAGAACACCCACTCTGGAGCAGTGAAACCACATGGTGATCAAGCCGAAGTAGCAAAGCAGCTTGAAGCCTAATAGCCCTGCGAAGAATCCCGGGCAGTGAAATGCGAAATTCCATGTAAGAAACTTGGTGGAACCCCCCATCGCCAAATCGTATTGTCATCAACGTAAGCTATTTCGCATACTTTGGGGTAGCTCTCATGAGACAAGTATTGACCAAGATAGGTGCACATTTTCGTATGACAACCTTAGACGCGACGAGTAAGCCAGCGCATTGTCTCATCATGTGGAAGAAGGACAGAAGGCATCAGACCCCAGCGCAAGAATTAGAAAAGACCAATACGGCGACTTCAACAGTCGCTATTAACAGTCTTGGTACTCTGTCCTGCATCGAGTACTGCTCCCCAACGGGGCGATGGCTTGGCTTCAGGTCGCATGGTCTTCGCCGGCTACATGCTGCATTTTGAGTTCGCGATTGTTCGGTCCTCGTAGCTTGGTGGTTTCAACCTTGTTCATCAAGTGCCGAAAGCCCAGGTACAGGCCAGAAAACATGTTGACCATGGCTATCGCGCCTACGAAGCTGGGAAGCTGGGAAGCTGTACCGAGTCTTACCTTCGTCGATAATCGTCGACATACTGGTACCAAAGCTTGAAACCGTATGGAAATAATAAAGTCGCAGCATGAACCATGCTGATCGCCATATAGTAGATGGTCATGAGGCGTCGATGGAATGTACCTAGGTAGCCTTCATGACAAGACCAACGGTGCGTCTGCTGGTGATGAGGCAAGTGCCGGCCAAAGAAGATGCCAGTATCTGTACAGCAAATCATGGCAAGGGTACTGCAAGGATGCAATACACCAAATGTAGTGGAAGTACTGCCCGAGCACAATCGGAGAGCGCCAGCGCACCTCGTGACGGCACGCCCGGGTTTGAGGGTCGCATGATCTGGTGTCGCATAAGTATTGGCTGCACCCTTCGCCGGATGATGATCGCAAGAACGTGATACTCACCGCCATAGTCGCTCTATATATCCTCGTTAGCAATTTTACTGTCTGCTAAATACTACGTCCAAGAGTTTGAACGCATCAGTTTGTCTCCCCCGTCGATGTCGAGAGCCTGAGGTGCGACATCTGTCTTGCCCCGCCACCCCGCCTCCTCGGCTGTGGCGCCCTTATCGCTTATCGCGACATTTCCGCATCCGTCTTCGGCGCGTCATCTGCTCCTTCGCGTCGACACGCCTCAAAGGGCGGGCAGCCTCCCCCGGGAGCGTCTTACTTCTCTCGAGCCTAAGGATAAAGAGCCTCGTCTCCGCTCACTGGCGAAACGCGTAGTTACTTTTTATACCCTACCCGAGCCAACACCGGCCGGACGTTCATCAGGCGGCACGACTACACCATTCTCACGTCACGATCTCCACCAAGCAGCAGGAAGCGAGACCTCATAGTTTAGCCGTCCGGAGACCTCGAAGGATCTTTCTTTCCATAGCGCCAGGCGATAGTCGCATCACTATACCACCACTAATATTCCGATCAACCCTCTGTAGTACACCATGCCGAGCTCACCAACGCAACCATTCCCTCTCTACCTATTCCCCAGCCTTCCCTTCCGCCGCCGCCGAAGCTCTGCCATCAGCATCTCGACCGCCTCCACATCTCCGTCCTCGTCTCCACCCCAGCCGACCTCTTTCTTGACGGCCCAACCGAACTCACACCTGCGCTGCCAGAAGTGCCTTGCCGACCTCATCCCCACGTCAGCCATAATAAGCAAAGGGTTCACTGGGCGTCATGGTCGCGCATATCTTGTAGGACCACCATCGGCATCCAGCGCGTTTGCTGGTGGTGACATGTCAGCGACAGGCTGGAAGGCGGGCGACCTACCGAACACCTTGACGCACAAAGCCCACGCTCGTCAGCTCGTCACGGGTGCGCATACCGTGTCCGATATCAGCTGTCGCAGCTGTGGTACCGTGCTAGGATGGAAGTACGTCGATGCTGCTGAAGAGACTCAGAAGTACAAGGTCGGCAAGTTCATACTGGAGACGAAGAGAGTAGTCAAAGGCGCGGAATGGGACGAGAGCGTAGAAGAGGAAGACAACGGCATGGTGCTGGACAAGGAAGGTGACATCGAGTTCGATTCGCAGGACGAAGACGAATGCGAGGACCTCTTCAGTGGCATCTGGAGCCCCCAACTTGCGAGCAAGAGGAGGAAGCGCCGTGCTTACGGTGGCATCGACTTGTCGGTGTGAGCTTGTCGTCCCTTTTACATCCACAACACGCACGCACTCGAGCATTATTTGCTGTACTTACGCTACAACTCGACACGAGAAACGAACAAATACCCCGGGAAGATAGATACACTTCCACTTTTGATACCCAGGAAAGGCGCATGGATTTGGCGTAACGGCTTGCTTTTAATCAACGACATGTGTATGTACCTAGCTTACGTACCATGGTGCACCACGATAATTTGATCGTCACCAACTTGTCCACAATAGATCTCTCCATGCATTGATGTCTCGTGAGCCATGGATCAGGCCAGTAAGCTGTTAAGGCTGCGATACTACCGCTTCCCCGGGACAGCCAATATGCCGCGCTCACAACTTCGCACTCGCGCCCTTCTCTCCCTTTGCCACCTCGGCAACCTCACTCGAGCTCTCTGGATTCCACCCAGCGATCATGTCCTCTACAACATTGATCTCATCCTGTCCCCACACCAATCCGCCAACTGCTTTCCACTCTCCACTATCCGTCTGTCGCAGCACGCGATACGTCGGCACGCCGCAAAGACCCAAGTTCTTAGCCTCCGCAGTCAAAGCTCGTAGTTTGGCTTTTATCTCGGGATCGTTCGCGCGCGCGATGAGGTCCGCACCATTGAAACCGCCTTCGTCAAGAACATTGCGGAGGATGGATTCGTCCGAGACGTTTTGGTTATGCGACCAGCACGCTTCGACTGTGCCAGATTAGCATGTTGCATGGCATTTATAGGGCGTACTAAGAAAAAACGAAAGCGCGACTTACACAACAACTTCGTCGTCTCCGGCTCCACAATAGCAACCCTCAACACAGTGGGCGTTCTGATAGGGAATGTATCCGCCCAGTGGAACTTGACCTGTCGGCCGCCATCCTGCGCACTAACAGCGTTCCAATACTCCGTCCAATCCGCGTGATCCTGTCTCGACCACTTCGCCTTCGCAGGACTAACCGCCGACCCAGGTAGATTCGGCGCGCCGATCTCTCTAAACAATATGCCCAGCAGAAAAGGTTTCATGACAACTTCCAGTCCGGATCCAAAGGTGGTCTTCAGTCTTTCTAATTGCGTGTACCCCAGAAATGCCCATGGACTGCTGAAATCGAACCAAAACTCCAGCTTGACACGACCGTGAGGAGTGTTCTTCGGCACGCATCGAGGCATCAGACTCTTGAGTCCAGGGACACCACTCCACTGCTCCCCCTTCTCAGAAGAAGAAAGCGCAATCAACGTCGCCTCAACAAAATGCATACGATCCTGTCCCCAAAAGAATCTCCCTTTTTTCTCCTCGCCACTAACCCCCGTCCAAACCGCATCCGGGATCCAGAAGCCGGGAACACCAAATGCACCTCTCTGGATCGCTTCTTCAGTGCTCTTTTCCAACTCTTTCCTCGCGTTTACATCAGCAAAACACTCTTCTCCCAACCCTTGCAGCCCACACTCCCTCGCGATCTGCAAGAGCGTTGTGTTGGAATTTACATCTTGGCCGTCTACCCAGTAGGCTTGGAATAACCTATCCGTAAGCAGCCTCCTCTTTTCCTGGTCCTTCACACAGTACAACAAACGTAGGGCATTGACTGTTTTGCGGGGGTGCTGGGGTGGAGGGTTGTATCTTACGTTGTATCTGCGGAGTGTGCGCTGCATACCCTGTGCTGTAACGGCTTTTTTGGCGGAGTTGAAGACATCGGAGGCGGAGCCGCCGGCGCCTTGCGGGGCGGCTGTGGCGCGGTAGATGGCGCCTAGGAGGACGGGTTTGTAGATCAGGTTTGCGTGCGTGCGTTGGGCAAGGGATTGAACGCGTGTGGAGGCTATGTAGGCGAAGGGGCAGGAAATGTCGTAGTTGAACTCTAGGGTGGGGGCGGCTGGCGCCATGGTGGTGGAGGTTGGGTGGTAATTGAAGGTTAGTTGTCAAGATACAGTAAAGAAGTATGTCTGTAGATGAGTTAGTCTACAGATGCGAAGCATGAGTAATCTTGGGCGACTGTTAGCTTCAGCTCGGTATACTGTAGCGTAGGTGTGGGGTAGATTCAGATACAGCCGAGGTTCATGCTATGCGCAGGAACACCAACACCTTCTATGATGGAACCTGACTCCGAAAATTGATCTTTTTGTAGTATCTACCTCTT